CTTGTTGGACTCGACCTGGACCTGGACCTGGGTCGGCGAGTTTGGTCGTCGCTAGGAACCATGTATGTATGTATGTAGAAAGATGAACAACAGTCGGGCTCGGACTGGACACCAACGCGGTATGGGTGGACGCGGGACAGATGATGACGACACGCACGAACGACACACAGACACAAACAAAGGTACACGTACACTTTACAGAGATCCGTCACCAAAGCTACTCGTCGTCACCCTCCGACCCACTCGCATCGCCATCCTCCACGCGAGGCCTCTTCCGCCGGTCACATCGCCACGCAAGCGGTCGCCACCGCGAGAAGGCCGCCTCAAATCGGACCTGAATCTCGTAGCCACGGCTCACCGGTGACCTGCGCGTACCATAAGCTCATCGAGAAGTGGACCCGCTCGCCGTCGCACAGGCTCTCGCACGCCCACGGATCCTTGTGGGTTCCTCGGCACGCGAACGGGTCCTTGAGCTTGCAGCGGCGCGGGCACAAGTCGGCCAGGTGCGACATGTAGACGTACCGCTTGCACGCGCACGCATGCCCTCTGCACCGCCGCTGGTACGGGTACGGCGGCGGCCAATCGGCGGCCTCGCTCTCGGTAATGCGTGGCCGCTGCGCCTGCGAGAGCAGCCGCTCGACAAGAGCCGAGTCCGCCTGCCTTCGCGCCGCCTCCTTCGCCGCCTCGCGCTCCGCCGACAGCCTACGCCGCTCCTCCTCTCGCACCGCCTCCTGCCGCCTCGCCTCCTCCTCCCGCGCCTGCTTCGCCTCCGCCTCCGCGCGTCGCGCCCGCGCCCGCTCTGCTGCCCACGGCTCGTAGACGGCGCGCTGGGCGCCGAGCTCGTGGCGGTACTGCTCTCGATCCTCGGAGAGAGATTTTTAGCAATACCAGCGTTTTTCGCCCGTGGTGGTGCACCAACCAAGCTGTGCGGTGCGCCAAGCATCCGGCCGGGCCGCGTCGCCCGCGTGGGCGCGGCGACCAGGCTCAGCGCTCAGCGCCAGCGGAGACGGAGCGACATCATCAATAATGCCATATCATCCATAAGCCACACCGGAAAACTCTTTTCTGTGGACCTTTGCGCGGGGTTTTTCTTTTTTCGGAGAAGGGCCGCTGCACGCGAGCTGCTCGCTCGCCTGCGCGCACGCTGCTCGCTCGCTGGGACGACGACGACCTTGCCGCCCAGCAAAGAACATCGATGGCAAGCGTGGAGGACCGCGTTGAGGTGTGGGACTGGTGGCACCCGAAACTCCGGCAGCTGACTTTCCACGCTGGTGCGTCGTGGGAGGGCATCGAGGAGCGCAAAGGCCTTCAGTTCGTGGCGCTCGCACGCGAAATTGAAGGCGCGGTTCCTGTGTTCGATTTCTGGCATTCTCGGCTGCGACAGCTCACGTTTCACACGGGCGAGCCTTGGGAACACGAAGAGCGAAAGGGC